TCCATTCACACAGCCGCCACCACAGTTCAGGCCTTCTCCCCTCCCCTAGATTACTGGTATGGCTTCCTCACTGGTCTCTCTACTTCCAATCTCCACTCTCTCCGATCTGACAAAATAATCTGCCTAAGGTCCAGTCTGCCCAAGTCGCTATCAGGCTCACCAACTGTCTATAGTTTAGGATAAAATACAGGCTCCCCAGCCTGGCACTTAATTACCTCCACTATGACTAGAACCTCCACTTCCAGACTCTCATTATTCACCTTTATACACTTGATGCTTCAGTTAGACCAGACATCAAACTCCACTGTCTAGCTCAGCCTTTGGCCATTCACACAATCTGGTTCCCAGTCTTTCAAAATACGCTATTCTTCCTTCAGAGCTCTGCTCTGTTCTACCTCCTCTGTGAAGCCTTCCCTGATCTTTCCAGCAACCACTGTTCTTTCTCCTATTACCCTTCATTTTCTCACATACCCTGTACAGGCAAGGCAGTGGCTCATTTGAAAGAATTCTGGAAGCGGAGTCAAGAGAAGCCCGAGTTTGAATCCTACCTCCACCACTTAGCAGTCAAGTAACCACAGACCAGTCACTTAAAGCTTTCAGGGTTGCAAAGGTTATTCTTATAATTGTTACTGACCTGTCAAAGCCTATTTCCTCATCCAGGGATATTGCCTGCAGTACTTACCTCAGAGTGACGTTATTAAGGATCAAATGAAAAAAGTGTCTTATAAAACTCAGGTTATTTTGTGTCAGGCATTGCTGTGATGGTTTCAGGAAGACCTGAGTTCAAATCTTGCCTCAAACACTTACTAGCTCTGAGACCCTAGGCAAGTCACTTCACCTCTCTGTGACTCAGTTTCCTCATCTGTAAAAAAGAGCTGCAGAAGGAAATGACAAACCACTCTAGCATCTTAGCCATGTAAATCTCAAATGGGATCATGAAGACACAACTGAAATGAACGAACAACAATAATTCATGTACCTACTTGTGAAGATCAAATGGGTTAAGAATATATGCAAAGGAGTCCTTAAAATGCTGCATAAATGCTAGTTAGCATCATCAGCATCAGCATCATGATTACATTCTGTCCCCCCATTAAATGGAAGCTCCTTGAGGACAAGGATTGTCAATTGTTATCTTTGTATCTCCAGTGCTTAGCATAGTGCCTAGGCACACTGTAGGAACTTACCACACGTTGGTTGAACTGAATTAAATGGAGGAAAGTGGGATGCCTTTCACTCAGAAATCCACGAAACTTTGCCTGGCAGTACGGCAGGCCACAGTCAAGAAATCCGAGCCAGGATTTAGTCTTTATAAAATCAGTAGCCTCCAACATGAGGTCTGTCAGGTACTGCGGCTGAATTGTGATGTCTGCTACTCCTCAGCCGACTTTTAAGCACATAAAGCAGCAGCTGGATGGGGCTTCCAGGCCTTCTTGCCTGTGTTACCAGGGAAACATCATCTTCTGCCGAGACTCCAAGCTTGCAAGGAAGGGGAGGCTGGCATTGGGAGTGGCAGAGCTCAGTGGTGGTTGAATGGCATTTGTAGTGGCAAGAGAAAGCTGAGGGTCCCCCAGCATTCCTGCAAAACTGGGAATGCCAGAGAGGAACCTAGAGACTGGTAGGGGAGAGAAAGAAAGAAGAAAAACAACAACCATATACACTCATGGAATGAGGAGGCAAAAGGGGAAAGTAGCCATCAGGAAGAACGGCTCAGGAAAACGCCAGAATGGAGTAAGAAGCAGGGAAAACAGTGAAGGCACACAGAGTAAAGGCGGAAAAGGGGGGAAGCAGAGCCTGGTATATAATGATTTTGTTTGTTTGTAGTTTTGGTTTTTTAGGCAATTGCAGTTAAATAACTTGCCCAGGGTCACACAGCTAGTATGTGCCAAGTGTTTGGTCTGAGGCCAGATTTGAACTCAGGTCCTCCTGACTTATATAATGATTTTGAAGAAAGGAAGGGATGGGTAAGAGATAGTGCCCAACTTAGGGGAAACAAGGAAAGAACCATCTTCCATGAAATGAGGTTTTTGGCAACTAGTGAGGGACCTAATATTGCAATCTCAGCAGAAAAACTAAATAACCAAAACTAAAAAGGAAAAAATAAAAGAGCTAAAACCAGTTAAGCTAACTAACTAACTTCTAAAACTCTCTCAACCCCCAATCCCCAGAGCAGTCACCACCCACAGACAAAAGGGGATTCAATTCCAGGATAGATAAAGAGGGATTAAATTCCAAGTTAAGAATTAGCTCCAGAGGCCAAAACTTCTACAGGTGTATTTCTTAGTTGCTTACTGTGTAGCCTCCTATACTTCCTGGGCCGGCCTTATGCTAAGCACTAGCTGTCCTCAGATTCTGTAGTAAAGGAAACACTAAGTTAGAAATGGTCTAGTGAAGGAAACATGTAAATAATAAGTAGATACATACAAGATACATATAGGGTAGATAGAAAGTAACCTTGGCAGAGACGGCATTAGCAGCTGAAAGGACCAGGAAATGCCTTGAGATGAAGCCTAACTAAGTAGCTATGGGGAGTGGACCAAGCATCCATGGACATTCGCCATTGCAAAGTTTCTGAGATGAAAGATGGAGTGTCATGAGTGAGGATCAGCATGTAGGTCAGTATAGCTGTGATAGGTCGATACTTTCCCTTTTGGGCTTGAGACACCAGGCCCTTCTCAGTCAATCATCCTTTTAAGTGCCCTTTCATTGTGGCCCTCATTGTCTGTACCTGGTCCCACTCCAGCCTATTTCCTACCCTTTGGAAATAGACCCTTTCTCTTTTACCTCCAAGTCACCCCAGGCTATCGGCCACTCCTAGATCACAACCAGATCTTCCCACAATCTTTCTGTATCAAAGCGTCCATCTTGCCCTCATTACATTGCTCAGATTCTTAAAATCTGTCCAGCTTGTACTGTGACAAGGGTCACAAATGTGCAGATTCTTAAAATCCTGCCCATTTCTATTGGGAATACAATAAACCTTGTCTCTGACTGAAAGAAGTTTTGAGTCTAATTCTTTTGAGGCAGACCCACACCTTTTGCCCTTGTATCTCGGGGTTCCCAGCACCCCTAGACCACAACAGCTGGATCACAAAGTGTGTGGAGGGGAGAAAAATAGAAGACGGACAAAGTAGAAAGCACTAGTTGTGAAGAGCTCTAAATACCATATTTGACCCTAGAGGTAATAATAGGGAGCTATGGCAGTTTATTGAGATTATTGTTGGGGTAATATAGGCAGAGCCAATACTTAAACAGCATCATTTTGGTGGTTGTGTAGAAGATGGATTGGAACAGGGAGAGACTTGAAGTAGAGAACAGTCAGAAGGCTAATGCAATAACTCAGGCAAGAAGTGATGAGGGGCCAAATTAAAGTTGTGTCCGTGAGAGTGCACAGGAGGAGATTTATGTGAAAGATGTTGTGGAGAAAGACATTACAAGATTTGACAACTTATTGGCTATGTGGAATGAAAGAACAGGGAGCTGATGATGACACTGAGGTTCCAAACTTAGGTGACTACTAGGATAGTGGTACCCAAACAATGGGGGATGGGGGGGATAATGAGGTCTATTCTGGACAGGTTGAATTTGAAATGTCTTTCAGACATATAGTTTGGAATGACCAACAGGTAGTTAGCAACGTGTGCCTATGAGAAGCACAGAACACCAGGACAAATGTCATGAGAGTACGGGGAAAGGAGAGAACAGGTAAGGCTTCATAGTGAAGGGAGCATTTGAGTTGGTCTCAAAGGATGAAGATGATTTCAGAGCCAGACTTTTGAAGGCAGGGGAAGGTATAAGAAGATCATGGAATCATCGGTCATAGGATGATCAAATTTAGAAATAGAAGAAACCTTAGAGGTTATTTGAGTCCATCCTCTTCAATTTCCAGATGAAGAAACTGAGAGTTGGAAGAGCTTAGATTTGAATTTGGATCCCTCAGACTTCACATTCAGTAAACATTCCAGATGTAAGGATTTTTTTTCTCCTTCTGGATCCTTCAAGTAAGTCAACCACTGCTTCACATTAAAAGTACTGGCAGCTAGGCGGCACAATGGATAGAGTCCTAGACCTGGAGTCAGGAAGACCTGAGTTGAAAGTTGACCTTGGACACTTAGTGGCTGTGTTCTCCTGAGCAAATCACTTAATATCTGTCTGCCTTAGTTTACTCATCTGTAAAATGGGGGTAAACAATAACAGCACTAACCTCCCAGGGATACCAGGAGGATAATATGACAACATGAGCAAAGCACTCTGTAAAACTTAAAACATTATATAAATGCTATTATTATCATCAGTATTCTAAAAAGCAGGGGAAGAAAGAAAATTCTCAAGCTTGAGCAGATTACAAAAATCTTCTCTCTTCTTCTCTTAACTTCCTGCTCACCTGAGATTTTTACAAAGAGTCACTAATGAAAAGGAAGCTAAGTAAAGAAAAATGCCCAGCCTTTCTTCCCCTCCATGCCCAACAGGAACAATCCTCCAGAGAAACTGGAGGGTGGGGGAGGGAAGAAAGGTGGAAGTGAAACAGAGACATAATCAGTATCTTATTTTGCTCCTTGCTGGGCCATTTTCCTTCATTTCAAAGTACCTGAGCAATTGTGAGAGAGAAACCAAGTTTAAAAGAAAAGAAAAACAATTAGTCTGATTTTGGCATTGAAGAAACACCTAGGCTTACCTAGAAAGCGAGCTTGGGCTCCCAGACATAAGGGTGAAAAGGACTGTGATCATTCCCCAGCAAGTCAGATTAGAAGATAGCCCCAAGACAATGGATAAAGGCTTGAAAATGGGAGGGCAGCATAATCATCTCTGAAAGCAGGGCCCAAACAACAAAGTCTCTGTTGAGAGAACAGGCCTCTCTGTCCAAGACCCTGATGCAAATCTGCAAAAACCAGAATCCAGAGAATCCAGTGCATGATGCAAAGAAGAGGCATGAGGCTGCAGAGAGGCTGGGAAGGGTTCGAATAAATGGATATCATTTAAAATGCACTAGAAATCTGATCCTTCCTATGTGGCTTCACAGTACCACCAGCCTCAGCAAGGACACAGCCATGGGAACAGGAGTGACAGATTCCGAGGAAGAAGAAACAATTCTAAGAGGCCTGTGCTCAAGGAAAGAAATAGGATAATATAGAATACTCTCCTGATCTAAGTTGGGTCAATATGGAAAAGGACAAATCACCTATAGGAAGAGCATCTAAAGACAGGGGTGTGATCAGTGTCTGGAAGGCTGGCAATGTTAAGTGAGTAATAGCAAACTTTATCTTTTCATGAGCTTAGCAATGAGCCAGGGAGGGGAGAAAGGGTGGGGTGGGAGTGCAATAAAAGATTAAACCTGAACAAAGAATTGCAAACACCACACCAGATCTGATTTTGTCGTACTCGCTCTATAATTCTCAAAGGAGCTATAATGGAAGGCTGTGTCCTGTTTGTATTTCCAAAGAGGATGTTAGGAAAATGATCCCATAGTTGAGAGACAGTTCCCAAAAAAGGGCTTTTTTTGTACATCCTTATTACCTGTTGCCTCATTACCAGAAAGAACAGGTACATTGTAGAAGGATGGGAAATGCCCTGACACAGATGCCTGTTCCTCACTTCTCGATGAGTAAGCCATTGATCAGTTGTGTTGTTGGGTTTTTTTTAAACAGGGTTTTGGAAGGACCTCTATTCCATGGATTAGGGTACTGTATTTATGTGTCTGAGGTGGGATTTGAACTCAGGTCAGACACTTTTCAGCATAAGAAGCCTTTCCCTCTTCCCCTTAATTCTGTTGCGCTTTCCCTCTGTGATTATCTCCATATTATCCTCTCATATTTATATGTTTGTACATAAATGATTTGCATATTGCTTCCACTGCCTCCCCTGTTAGATTATAAGCTTCTTGAGGGGAGGGAGCCCTTTTTTAGCCTTTATTTGTATCCCTAGGCTTATGAGCACAGTGACTGGCACACAGTTGTTGCTTTAAAAATGCTTATTGACTTAAATAACCTCTATTGGACTCAGTTTTCTCATCTGAAAAAATGAGGAGGTTGAATCTGATTGACTTCTCAGCCTCCTTTTAGATCTAAAATTATGACCATATGCAGCAATATTGCTGTAGACAGTTATGTTCAAGTGCATGCTGACTGCATCACAAATGAGACAGCATAACTAGGTTCTCGTGGTATTTTTAAACTGCCTAGGATAAGATCCAACACGAAGCATTTTGGGAGCCAATAATTTTTTTTCTAACAGATCATGCCAAAGCAAAGTTCTCGTGCACTGAGTATTATGCTGATTTTACCTCTGACAGTTCATTTATAGATGGTAAAAATCAATTGTCTGTGCAACAAAGATGGTACGACAGGAAGAATACAAAAGGCCTAGAATCACATTCCAGCCCAGATAATCTGATTCTGAAAGTTGTCATCTATAAGACATTATGAGTCTCACAGGGTTGTTTTGAAAGAAATGCTTTGTAAAGTTCAGTGCCCTAGATATCAATGCCCCAGAGTAAAGCCCCTTTTGCCCCATACCCGTTATGGCTCTGGGGATTTGTAAATGATATTTTACAGCATAATAATAAGAAAAAAACTACCCATTTCCTGGATGAAATATGCTAATAAGTCGATTACAGAGAGTTAGTGATCTTGATTTTTTTTTAAACATTGAGTATTACAGCTAACATAGAAAAAAAGGCAACAGATGCTAATGAGGGCAAAGCTGCTGCTTCCATCTGTCAGTGGGGAGGGTTCAGTGCATTCTGTCACCACTACACACAAACAACCTGACACGTGTCCTACAAACACCATCATCACAGTCCAAGGGGAGCTCATTTATTTGATAATGGATAAATCAATTATTCCAATCTAGTTCCTCCATCAAACCCTGTACTCTGTCTTAAGAATTTTTCCTGCAGAAAAAGCATACTATTTTATGTATGGGGTACTTCTTAATGTGGGAAAATTGGAAAGATATGTATAAACATATGTACATACACATAGGATCAAAAAGGGGGGAGAGGAAGCATGGCAGAACAGAGAAAGTTAGAATTAGGGAGACCAGGGTTCAAGTTCCTGCTCTGACACTTCCTAGGTGTGTGACCATGGGCAAGTCCCTTAAGTTCTCTGATGCTCGGGTGACTAAGACTATATTTATTATATGTTACAGGCATATTTAAATGTCTGCTAAAAGAAGCAGTTTCCAACCCAATAGGATCAGAGGTCTCTGACTTACTGATAAAAAAGAATTCTAGCAATACTTGTAGAAAAGAATTAATTATAGTTTACTATAAGAGTTCTTAGAATTATAGGAAATAAGGGGAGATTCCAGATTAGGTCAGTTTTACAAATTAGGAAACTGAGGCCCAGGCATTTTAAATCATAAGATCGTAGGATCTAGCTTTAGAGATGGAAGAGACCTTAGACATTATAGCTAAATCCAATTGCCTCATTTTATAGATGAGGAAACTGAGACTCAAAGAGGTCAGGAGATTTGCCCAAGGTCACACAGGTAACAAGCAAGTAATAAGTAGCATAGACAGAATTTGAACCCAGATCCTCTAAGTACAAAGCCTAGTGACTTGGTCAAGAGCCCAGAGCTACTTTGTCCTAGTCACAGGATCTCACTACTCTGTCATGTTGCCTTCAGTATAAGACTCTCACAAATACTTTGTGGGTCCCTTCCCAAGAATGGAAACAGAAGAGAAGCTTCTCTCCTTTATTTGTTCACTTTATTTGTACAGCACACCTATCTGCAAGTAAGCCAAGTTGTCATTCAACGAACAATACGTGGCGGCCGATACTGCCATCTAGCGTCCATTGAGACTCACTACAAAAGTGACATAACCTCGAGGAACAATGCCCCAGGTAATTATTTTTCATCATTTTATAAATGACAACTCAATTATAGCCAAAAAAATTAACTAGCAGGGCCCTTGGAAATGATCTAGAAAAACAACAAACAATAATTTACAGGGCAGCTAGGTAGCGCAGTGGATAGAGTACTGGCCCTGGAGTCCAGAAGATGAGTCTTTCTGAGTTCAAATCTCGCCTCAGACATTTCCTAGCTATATGACCCTGGGCAAGTCACTCAACTCTGTTTTTACAGCTGCTGGGGTATCATTGACCTATATTGCTACGTGGGCACAGCAGTCAGCGCGCCAGACCTGGAGTCAGGAAGACCTGAATTCAAATGGCTTGGAATCAGGAAAAATCATCTTCCTGAGTTTAAATCCAGCCACAGACACTTATTAGCAAGTGACCCTGGGCCAGTCACTTAACCCTGTTTGCCTCAGTTTCCTCATCTGTAAAATGAGCTGGAGAGGAAAAGGGCAAACCATTCCAGTGTCTCTGCCAAGAAAACCCCATGAAGAAATGACTCAACGATAAAGTCAGTAAAGTTAGGACCTGAACCTAACACATACGATTGCTTTACCTACACCTTTTCTATTTGACCTGACTTGTGGCTCCGAATGCTGCCATTTTCCTTTCTTCCTTCCCTCTCGCCTCCAAAAGCAAAAGCAAAGAGGGATTTTTAGCCGCCTCCTTCCTTTAGTACATTCAAGTTGCTCATTCAGAAGAGGAAAAAAAAAAGCAGACAGAAAAAGAGCTATAAAAAGAGGTGGGAAAGGGAAGAAGGAAAGAAGGAAAGAGAAGACTGTCACTCAAAGAGCTAAATGCCTTTTTCTGACATTCTTGGGATTGAGAGTTGGACTTTAGGACTTATACACTTATAAACTTTTTATATCATCTGGTCCAATTCCCTTATTTTACAGATGACACACCAGAGGGGATAAAGTAACCTGGCCAAGGTTCCCCAGGTAGAAAGGAACAGAGCTGAGATTTGAACCCCAGTATTCTAACCACAAAGCCAGCTCTCCTTCCACAAAGCCACACAGACAAAATGGAGACAAAACACAGGGTAGAACATTCTCAGGGACATCTATATTCCAGTGCCTCACCCCGGCTCTTTAAAAGATAATACCACCTGGGCTAAAAATAAGTTTAACTGGATGAAAAAGATGAAAAATAAAGGACGTACCTGAGGAAAAGACTGAATCCAAGATGGTCACTCAACTGAGTTTCTTTTCAAAGAGGAGTTAACCAAAAAAAGGCTAAAAGTTCAGCCTTGGGCAATAGAGCAAGTTCCCTGAACTAGTGGCTGCCCCCTAGGCCACATAGACTCTGTTGAGCAATACACAAGATAAACAAGGAAAGGAGGCTTGAACTATCAAACTTCAATATTCAGGATCCAGGATTTAAACAGTTGATCAACAAGGGTTTATTAACCTCTTCTTAAAGCACAGGTCTGAATGTGTCCCTCCCTACTCAGTTCCCATGCCTCCAGGACCAAATATAAAATACTCTTATCATTCAAAGCTCTTCCTAACCTGCCCCACCTCTTCCTTTCCAGTCTTCTTATAACCTTTCTCCCTACTATGTACTCTAATCCAGTGATGATGACCTCCTGGCTGCTCCACAAATAAGACTCCCCATCTCTTGACTCCCAAGCACTTTAGCTGGCTGTCTTCCATGCATGGAAGGCTCTCCCCTCCTCATCTCTGCCCCCTGGCTTCCTCCAAGTCCCAACTAAAATGCTGTCTTCTACAGGAAGTCTTTTATTCCCTCTTGATTCTAATGTCTTCCTTCTGTTGATTGTTTCCAATTTATCTTGAATGTAGTTTGTTTCTACATGGTTGTTCACGTTGTCTCCCCCATTAGTCTGTGAGCTCCCTGCCTTTTACCTTTTTTACCTTAACCCCCAGTGCTTAACAGTTCCTGGCACACAGTAGGCATTTAATAAATGATTACTGACTACTATGTGCTAAGGATTCTGCAAAGTTTTGGGGATACAAAGAGCAAAAATCAAAAGGTGAGCACAAAATACTATACACACAAAGTTCAGATAAGGGAAACATCATCATCTAGTTTTGGGGTGGAGGAAGGAAAAGCTTCATGAAGGAGATGGGCATTGGGATAGCCCTTGAAGGACAGGATTTAAGGAGAGGAAAAGGGTGTGGCAAAGGGAAAGTCCAATATTTGTGAACATGTTTCACCTCTTACAAGTCTGGTTTGACTGAAGCAAAAATGTGGAGTATCAAATCAGCTAAAGCTTTGAATACAAATCCAAGTTTACGCTTTTATACAGCACACAACGAGCCACTGAAAGTTTTAAGGCTGGAAATGCTTTGATCAGAGTTAAGACTTTAAAAGGTTTAAACCATCCAACAACCAGCTGAGATTAATTAAAGGAGAAGGAGGCAACTTCAGCCATCCAAGCAAAAGGGAGCACCAAGGGGCTGGATTCAAAAGCCCAGTCAAACACAGACAGAAGAGAACTCCAATTGACTGTGTGTTTGTGTGACCAGAAACAACTGGGGAAGGTACAGGTAGAAGAGAAACAGACTGTTAGAGGCAGGAAATCAGCAAAAAGGGACACAGAGGCAAGAAACTAAAAAATGTTTTTAAAAGACTTAAGTAAAAAAAAAGCCAGTTTTTTATATGAAACTTTTTTGAGGGTTGAAGTACTTTAGCTCTCTCTCTCTCTCTGTATATAAATGTGTGTGTATACATATACATGTGTATATATATACATATATATACATACATACATATGTATGTGTGTATATAATGTATAGTCTTATCTGATCTTCAGTCTGTGAGATGGGTGCTACTATTATCTAGATTATTTAGAAGCAGCTAAGTGGCACAATGGATACAGCCCTGAGCCTGGAGTCTGGAAGACCTGAGTTCAAGTTCAGCCCCAGACACTTATTAGCTATGTGACCCTGAACAAGTCACTTCACCTCAGTTTACCTCAGTTTCCTCCTCTGTAAAATATTGTTGTTCAATTATTTTCAGTCATATCCAACTCTTTGTGACCCCATTTGGGGTTTTCTTGGCAAAGATACTAGAGTGGTTTGCCATTTCTTTCTCTGGCTCATTTTACAGATAAGGAAACTGAGGCAAACAGGTTAAGTGACTTGCCCACAGATCACCCAGCCAGGAAGTGTCTGAGGCCAGATTTTAACACAGGAAGACTCATCTTCCTGATTCCAGGCCCCTCACTATCCATTGCACCACCTAGCTGCCCCATCTGTAAAATGGGGATAATAACAGCACCTACCTTCTGGGGTTGTTGTGAGGATCAAATGTCTATTTTTTTCTGGGTAAAGTCCTTTGTATACATTCATAAAACACTTTGTAAACCTTAAAAAACTATATGATTGCTAGTTATTATTGTTCTTAAAAATTTAATGATGCCTCTGAATCATGAAGAAACCCTCTAATGATGTTGGGTTACTTTACGCACCCTCTGCTTCCTCATTACATTGTCACAGTGGCCCTGGGCTGCCACCAGTTCTGCAGGTACTACCAAACTGGAAAGACTTTGAATATGGACCGGGCAGCAATCAACCAACCGACAAGGATCTGCCAGCTTCATGACATGCTTCTATACAGCTTTAAGATGTACGAGGCACCTTCCTTAGATGATCCGTCAGGTAGACGGGGTCACTATACCCATTGTATAGATGAGGCTCAGAAAAGATATCAGTGGTATCGCAGACAGGAAGTATCAGCTCTCTGATTCCAAACCCAGCGTTCTGACTCCAAATCCAGTCATCAGAACCCTAGAGGTATTTATTTAGAAGTTGGCTGTGCTATAAAACGCATCTGGTGTCTCTCAAGAGCATATACGAATCCAGATTCAAGTCACAAAAGTTACAAGTGTAAACGTTTTCATTGTAAGGCTGAAATAGATTCCTTTTGTAGAGGGGAGGGAATAAATATTTAGATAGCAACTACTGTGTGCCAGGCACTGTGCTAAGTGCTTCACAATTATTATCTCATTTGATACTCACAACCACCCTGGGAGGTAGGTGCTATTATTATTCCCATTTTAAAGATGAGGAAAATGAGGCGATCAGAGGCTTAGTGACTTGTCAGGGTCACACAGCTAATAAATGTGGATGGATTTGAACTCAGGTCTTCCTGACTTCAGGCCCAGTCCTACCTAGCTGTCTCAAACTTTAATTCCAGAATATGCCTTATTTTAATCAAATTTCTCTCTAGACCGAACCTACTATTTCTTAGTATAAACTCCCAGTGAGAAAACTCCCTTTCCTACATAGACTGGCACTAGTTCTGCACTTTGAACTCAGGGCTTTCTGACTTCAAAACCAGCTCTCTATCTATTACTCCATACTTCTTCTAAGTAATATGTATATGGCGTGTCCAGGAGGACCAGCCCTTCTGGTGTGAGGGCTTGTAAAGCCCTCCTCAGGACTGCTCATCCACCTTTGTGTCCACCTGATTCACCCAACTCTTACCTGTGGCTCCAAGAAGCTGTAGCATGCACAGTGGCCACACCCTGGTAAACCATCTCTGCAGATGGGCTAAACCAGATGGAAAGTAACCAAAGGGTCTCAAACCTATTAGTGAGTTGGGAGGAGGGGATGTCTGCCCCAAGCATGTAAAGACTTCCCTTGACAGAATGGGTGGATGAGAACAATTTTTTCCAATGGCCATGAAGGCAGCTGAAGCAGATGCTTAGAGCTTGGTCAGACATCAAAGATGCCAAGGCCATCCACTGCATCCTGGGCCATCACCAGTCATCTTGACCGTTGTCTTGCCACTGGACTCTGATGACTCTGGAGGAGACAGTGAGGCTGATGGCTTTGTGCATCTCTGCCTCACTTATAACCAATTCACACATGAGTCAAGACAACATCCTCATGATATCATTCATCTTTGAAAATAAAGGACAAACAACAATTAATTTTAGGATGCCATAAAACAATAAATCTGGGAAAAGGTTAAGTATGAATTCATGCAACATGAAGCTCCATCTTGGTAGAGAGAGTGGG